TCGCGAGGCATCCTACCCTCGACGGTTATTGCGGTATTATCTGCGAATCGGAAGAACACGCAACCGTCTCCGAGGGGAGGAATGTCAGAAGTGTAGATGCTGTAAAGCAAAGGGCCCAACAGGCAAAGGACAGGAATGGCGAACGTGTTTGAAAGGCAGCCACTCAACGATACCCTGGACGACCTTTACTGAAGATAGTTACGGGTGATTTTAACAATATGCAAAGGAAAGTTGAAGTTACAAAGCTTGTATACAAGCCCATTGTACCAGACATTGTCAAACGCTTTCTCAACGTCTAACAATGCCATGGCTGTGGACTTGCATACAGCTTTGTTACTTCGGATGTTATTCATCACCCGTACTAGCTGATGATTTGTGGAGTGCCAGTTGCGAGTACCGTGTCCAAAGTTCAGACATCGTTGGCACTGGGTCACATCGCGATGGCCTCCACGGCACGCCTCCCATCGTACGATGATGGAGTACATTGAGCGAATAGCCTGCAGCGCATTCAACGTCACCGATCCCTTCTGGAAGTGCACCAGGAAAAGACAATCCGGGTACGTCTTCACGTTTTCGTCTCTCCTCGTCATCCGAAAGACAGCGGTTGGGGCCAGCTTGTACCGGTCCTTGAGTTCTTCTTCAATCACCTTGGAATCAACATTCGGTAGACCTTTGATGACTACCTTGAAGGGCTTCTCACCGGGGATGTCGTGCGTGAAGTATTCCGCATTGGAATCCTTCAGAAATTTGACGGCGATTTCGTATTCCGCTTTCGTCCGGAGCATCACCTTACTGCCGATCCTGCTGATCTTGTACTCAGCTGCGATGCCCAGCGATGCGAAATAGCCAATGAGCGTCTTGAGAGGCACTAAAGGGTGTCCACGATGAAATTGCCCCAAAAAAAATGGATTCGCAAAATTCGAGTTTTCATCCGATTGCCATCAAATTTTCAGGGATTGAGAAATAACTATTAAACTTCATTTTACCATTTTACTCGTATTTTATTTACAGTCCATACGCAAATGCCCGCACCTTGGCCTTAACCCCGGCCATAAGATTCTGCACAACCTGTGAATCAACCGTTTTTTGCATGTAAACCCATACTTTCTTCAGTTCCTCGACTGTCTTCACTACCTTAGGTCGGTTAAGAAGGTGCTGCTTCATAATCGCCCAGTACTTCTCGATGGGGCGGAGCTCCGGAGTGTTGGGAAGGTTGAACATTTTTGGCACGAAATTGACCTTATTGTCCGCATACCACTTCAGCACGTCCTTGGAGTAGTGGCATGAGGCCAAATCCGGCCAGAAGATTGTTGGGACGTTGTGGGCCTTCAGGAGAGGAAGCAGCCGCTTCTGGAGGCACTCTTTTATGTACACCTGTCCGTTCATCGTGTCCTGGGTCACGAAAGGTGTACTCCGCTTCCCGCACGTGCAGATGGCTTGCCAAACCAGGAATTTCTTCGCAAATTTGGACATCTTCTGAGTGCGGACATGCTCCGGAACGCTGAACTTATCCTTGGCCGTGAAAAACAGGTTGCCGGGGATCTGTTTGAAGTCGGCCTTCACATATGTTTCGTCGTCCATGATGCAGCATTCAACTTTCGTCAGCATGTTGAGGTACAACTTCCTGGCACGGGTTTTGGCGGACTTGTTCTGCTTCTCGTCGCGATTAGGGGCCTTTTGTACCTTGAACGTTCGAAGCCCAGCCTTAGTTTTGGCCTTCTGGACAAAACTTCGGCTTAGGTGCAGCTTCTTAGCCACATCCCTAACGGAGGCGTTCGGATTTCGGTTGAAGGCCCCAACTACGCGGTTGTGATTTTTGGTGTTGTACGGAATACTTTTTCCTTCACTTCTGGGCTTCCGATCGGTGGTCAACCGTTCCTCGAACCGCTTAATCACTCGCGACACCGTGGAATTCGCGATTCCCAACGTTTTAGCGATGGAACGATGCGAGAGATCCTTGTTCTCGTGATGAATGCGCAAGATTTTATCACGCACGAGCTGTTCTTTCGACTCCATTTCCGCGAGTTTTGATCACAGGAAAAAAAAACTTGCAGGATGTAAATAATGCACTATGAACTAAATCCACCCAAATTTTCATTAAATTCTACCCAACGGTTAAAAAGTTAGAGCAATTTCATAGTGTGGCAATTTCATCGTGGACACCCTTTACCTTCACCACCAGTGGAGGAAGCTTGACTTTCGACGCACTCGGGCCAGCAGAATTCTCGGCTTCGACGGCGTCGCCGAAATCACCAATGTCGCTGGCGTTCGTCGCGGTCACATCGTCGCGTCCGCTCGTATCATCGGACTGTGAGCTGTTGCCATACAGCAGCGCTGTTTTATATCTTTTCAGGTTAAAGCAGAATGATGTGCAACCAAGTGGTACTCGATTATGAGAACTGGGTTTGGGAAGAACACTTTTTATTTGTACATTGGACAATGCTTGACATTACCATTTTTTCAATAGCTTCTCGTTAACAATCATCAGTCGAATATCTATAGATGCGTAGAAATATTTCTGATTGATTGGTGATAAAATTATTGAAATTGGTCCAGAAGCAGCTGAGTTATTAATGTTCAAAATCTTTCATAATTTTGTTTCATGTTCCATTTTCGGTTTTCACAAAGTGTATCCCCAGTATAGAAATGAAAGACGTAGTCCTACGTAAAAAAAAGTTTTAACCGATATAATATTGTGAAAGTGCGACAGAGGACAAATATCATCGTCCAGCATCTCGTCGGGAGGTCGGGATTCATGAACGAATCATCCATTTGCGCATGCTCATCGTCATCCATCGAAAGGCTGTACGGCGACGTGGCTGGAGCAGATATTCGTATCTACGTAGCACTTCTACGGATTGGTTTCGTACGGTTCGCAGGGGACGATTTTGGCCATATTAACCTGTGAAGAATTGATTTCCTGCATCATCCATTCCGTCTCCAGTAGATCCTGGATGGTGATTCTAATTTTGAGATTCTTGTCCAACAGCGAAAGCAACACGTACTCCAATTCTGCACTGATTTCGTGCGGAATGACCAGTTCAGATTGCAGGAACTCAACGTCCACGAATGGGTTCTCGAAGAACATCAACACGTACAGTGTCACACCGAGATTCCACATTTCACGGTAACCTGCCAACAGTTTTGGACTGCAGTACTCGGTCGTGCCGCAAAAAGTTGCCCTTCCTGTACGAACGTCACCGATCCGATGTCAATCAGCTTGATATGGAAATTTTGATCAATGATAACGTTCTCGTCTTGATGTCCCGAGTGTAGGAAAGCAACCGCATTAGCAATCTGTCGAAAGATCCAACAACCCAGCTTCTCCGTCATCACGGGTCTTCGATCGATAAACTCGAACAGATCCATCCCGGAGCCGTGGATTTCCAGCACAACCTGGAAGAACTTGTCGTTTTGGAACCAATAATCGAAGATGTTGCCAATGTTCGGATGCTGCACGTGCGTTGACAGGTACACTTCCATCGGAATTTCCCGCTTTTCCTCGGTCTTAATCATAAACTGCGGCACGAGTGATACATGTGATACACTGATCCATCGGTGCAAGGATTACGAATGTCTGCAGATACTTTACCGGTTGTAAAGTTCTGCCTGATGGTTTGTTGCAGCAGGCTGAATCAGCTTTATTGAAGACCTTTGGAAGAAAAAATGACCAGATGGCCATCTGTAATCACGTGACAAGGGACTGGCAAATCCACGAACCCTCGTCCAGTCAACAAATCCTTTGATTCCCTTAGCCTCCAAGTGGTCATCAGATAACCCGTTAATTTTAACAATTCCAATTAGGTTCAGTGGTTGTCGAGAAATTTGAACTCTCAATAAGGCCGTTACTGGCCGAGTTCTACCAAATCAAGACGTTTAATGTGTCGCACGACGGGTTTCGGTTATTGTCAAGAATAGGCCATTGCCTCGGGGGCACCGTTACATTTCTGGGGGAACCATAACATGCCCGGGAGGGCTAATGAGACCGTTGACTGTCAATAAGGTCATTACCGGCCAAGTTGGTTTTTTAATTCATGAAGTTTGATGTCGCATGACGGGTTTTGGTTCTTGTTGAAAATTGGCGACTACCTCGGGGGAACCGAAATTTTTCCGGGATGCCCAATGTGCTCACGGATCATCGGTATAGCCGGTATTGCTTCAATTACATCATTTGATAGAGAAAATATTATGTTCACCGTGTGTATAATTATTACAGAACAGTAAAGCCGAATATCGTCCCAGAGTGACCCCGATGGAAATCGGAATAACTCCGGAACCAAGTATTGCTTCTAATGTTTTCAAACGGATTCAAAAACTTGAATAGATTCCCGACAAAATGCAACTGTTTTACAGAAAGACAATGACCATATGTTTTTAGAGCAAATTGAAGTCTATGCAAATTTAGACGTTAGGCACGCAAAGGTTAAGAAATTTCATTTAGAAGCTTACGAGTATTTCACTTCTGTTGCTTGCACGTCGCTACGTTCCCCTGACTAAAAAAACACGGCAGGATAATAAATGTAATTAGCTACACACCCAGCTTTTTTTCTCAAAGGAAAGAAGCGTAGAAATAATTACCTTTGCCGGTTTCGTATTCCGTGTGGTTCACCACGTGTCCGATCTGTTGCTAAAAATAAAAAAATAAGGTTAGAATCGTTTGCAATTCCAGAGAAATCCAAACCTAAGCAAATACAATGTAGATACCTACCTTCAATGCGTTAGCTCTCTCCACCATAAAATCCAATTTTTCTGGATGGTGAACATCGAAATTACCCCCACAGCAGCAGCACAAATGTGTCCCCAGCGTGCTCATCTGGTTCAAAGCGTATAATTTGTGTCACTTACCAAAGGCAAAATGCATCCCTCCGCCGAGGAGATGCAACATGCAAGCGCAGTTAGTTCACGCTTCGTTACCCCCGAAATCATGCATCTTCCGCTCGATGCAGTTGGAAAATTTGCCAACTTCAGCAGACACGTCGTTAGTCGTCGTCGCATTACCACCGAGCCGAGATGTTTGGTCGTTCGGTCTGCTTCCAGATTCTCTTCCTGGCAGCGTCGGTTTGGGATTCCATTGCCGGCGATTGGGTCGAGATACCATTTTTGCAGCCCTCGACGACCACCACCCAGAAGAGCACCCTCATCCGGAAGAACATCAATCATCCGTCGTTCATAGCGGATTCGAACTTCATGAGCCATGTGCTGCATCCGCCTTCTTCTGTCGCCGTTGCGGCCGATGATGGCGATTCCGAAGAAGATGAAGAAGAAACAGAACCGTCTTTGGTGGTGAACCATGTCACGTTGTCTCCTGTGCGGATAAGCAACTTGGTGGATTTCGAGGAATTCGTTCGGAGTTCGACCACCACGGAAGGTCCGATCAGCAGTGCGGCTGACAAGTATTCACATTTTCAGAAACGAATCTACGAGTATCCGCGGGTGAATGTGTCAACCAAACTGGGATGGGCATCCGCAAAGGATGAGCTTCAGTTCGTAACGGGTAATTTGAAACGGTTCCCCTGTGAAGAAAGTATTCAATAATCAATCCATTTGCTTAGCCAACCGGCACCGACTGTCTCCGATGGATTCGTCCGATCGTCATCCGATGAGTAACAAGTACCAGGAAGAATCGATCGAGCCAGTTCAAACCATTCACGATCGTATCGAAATCCCCGTCGATGCATCGTCCACCGAAGAAGACGAAGATGAAGATCCTGCCGGTGGGCCAAGCTCCGAAGAGAAAGACCTCAATGCACCAGCACCGCAGACAAGCGAGAAGCCCTCGGATCGGTTCAACGACTTTGACGACTACGACGAACAGCGTCCGGATTTGGCTAGTTCGTTCAAGAATGTGACCGTAATCAAGCGCAGACGACGGCCGGTATCACCGGGACGGGTGACTATCGTGAAGGTCATTCCACCGAGGAGGCGTTTTCGTCCGGTGGACTCGGAAAACGAAGGCGGTTTGTCCGGTTTCGTAAGTTTTTTGAAGACAATGCAGGATAAGTTTATGCAACGAACTGCCAAGAACATCGGCGACAAGATTAAGGTGCTGCAGGAGTTGAAGGATCAGCTGCTTCTGAGCATCGGTATGCTTGCTTGGTAGGGGTGGGCAGAACTTCTAAAAACCATTCCTTGCATTTTCAGAAAGAAGAATGTCCACTCTGTGGCGCGATCCAAACACGGATAAGGGCAATCGCCGCGTCAAGCGTGGTGGTTGGATGGAGTACGGCGATGGCGGTCACGGTGGAATGGATTTCCCGTCGGCGGAAGCGGCTCTGCTGACGATTTCCTTTCTCACGTTTGCCGTGTTTCTCATCAAGTTGGTTTTGGTAAGTGTGCCTAGTAGTTCACCAATGTCGGTCGTCGGTGGGGATACTTACAAGTCTATTGCAATTTTCAGCAAGTTATCAACACAATCAAAGCGAAACACTACACGTACAATACGCTGGCCGGCTTGAATGGGGTCAATGCGGCCACGTTGAAAATAGTCAACCGAAGCAAACGGGACGCCGATGGACAGGATGAGCTTTGGAAGCAGGATCTGCATGTGTTGAGCGCAATCAATGATTATAAATTTACGTGAATATGAGTAATGAAAATACACATATGGCGGTCAGCTCCAACTCGGATTAACTTTTAATACTGACCCTTGATCTGCAAAATGGATTAACTCTGACCGGGGGGTTTGGTTAAAGGGATGATTAACCCGATTCGTGCCTTCCTCAAAATTGACCTTTGCTCTTTTTTGACTTTAAATGATCTATATTTCTTGAATTAGTGTGGTTTACATGTATAACTTATCAAGTGACACAGATGCGTCTTTTCAACTTTAGTTCCTGTGAAATTTCAATTATTATTAATTACAGTTCCTAGTCCTATCAGGCCTGTTTTAGAGAATGACCACCTTGGTGGGATTGGTTTGTTTTAAAATTTGAAAAAGGAGACTACTTATAACTACTATTTACAACTACAACTAACCTACAACTACTATATACACCTAATCTACTATATACAAATTGCTTATCAAAGCATGTTCTGATAAATTACATTTTTGTGCAAATTTAGTCTTAATTTCGTTAATTCTGAAATCTATTTTGGCAATGCCTGTCTCTTCGTGTAAATTTGTTATTCTAGTGTCAAAAGGACGATCAAGTACCATCCTCAGCACTCTATTCTGAGCGACCTGGATTTTGTTCCTGTGAGTCTGTGCACATGATTCCCACACCGGAGCTGCGTAGAGGATCGCAGGTGCTATGATTTGTTTGTAGACGGCCAGTTTGTTCACCCTTGAGAGGCGGGATCTGCGGCAAATCAGCGGATACAGACACCTAACCAAGGCAGAACACTTGACTACTGTTTTCTCTACATGCGAACGGAAGAGGAGCTTTTCATCAAACAACATCCCGAGATAGGTTACTTCGGCAGACCACTCAACCCTTATGCCATCCATGATTACAGTACAAGATGGAGCTGGTTTTAGTTTGGGCGATTGCCGATGGAGGAACATGATCGCTTGTGTTTTGGAGGCATTGATTTTGATTTTCCACGTGGTGGCATAATCAGCAAAGGCGATAAGGCATCGTTGAAGTTTGTTCGTTATTTCGCGAGGCATCCTTCCTTTGACGGCTATTGCGGTATCATCTGCGAACAGGAAAAACACGCAACCGTCACCGAGGGGAGGAATGTCGGAAGTATAAATGCTGTAAAGCAAGGGGCCCAGCAGACTGCCTTGCGGGACTCCTGCTGGGATGGAAAACGTGTCTGAAAGACAACCATTCAACGATACCTTAAACGACCTTTGCTGGAGGTAGTTACGGGTGATTTTAACCAGATGTAAAAGAAAGTTGAAGTTACAAAGCTTGTACACAAGTCCATCATGCCAAACATTGTCAAACACTTTCTCAACGTCTAACAAGGCCATGGCTGTGGACTTGGATACAGCTTTGTTACTTCGGATGTTATTCATCACCCGTGCCCCTTTCTGAATCCAAACTGTTCCGGAAGGAGAATGTTATTTTCCTCGACAAACTTGAGCAAACGATTGAGAATGAGTTTCTCGAACAATTTGCTCAGCGCTGAAAGGAGGCTGATTGGTCTGTAGCTTGAAGACAATGTTGGATCCTTACCGGGTTTGCGGATTGGTATGATTTTTGCAATTTTCCAGATGCTTGGTGTTCCGTCTCCGCCGAAAGTGAACCAACCATCTTGACAATCGCCGCTGACGAACAGCGACAAACAACACTAACCAATCAGCGACGTCCATATCACCATGCGCAGACAGCGCGCTCCTATAAAAGTGGCACCCATTAGGCAAACTGATAATCATTCGCTGCCAGACTGTTGAGCAGTTCAGTCGATTTGAATTCTCTCTAGTTTCGTTCGTTCGTTCGCAAGTCAAATTAGCTCCGCGTTGTGTAGTGACGCTCTCGCTGACCCAGCCATGGGTAAGAAATCGCGCGGTAACGCGAGTGCCGGTTTACCGGGAAAACAGACTCTCCCAGGAGACGGCGCGACCACCGAGCCAGCCCAGAAGAAGCAGAAGAAAACCCCATTGCCCATCCCGACAGGCGTTGCGGACCCGCAGCCGGGGCCTCCCGGAACTAAACGACCCAGACCTGAAGACAGTAGCGCCACCGCATCAGCAGCAAAAAAGCTGCTGAGCAACAATCCGTTCTCGGCCCTGCAGAACGGAGCCCAGCCGCAGTCGGACCCTGAGACGGTGCCGAAAAAAGTTAAGTTGCCACCCTTCTATGTGAAGGGCTTCCCTCCCGGGCTATGGGAGCAGCTGGATTTCTACATTAAGCAGGGCCTTCGCTGCACCATTCAACGGTGCACGGAAGGCTACAAACTGATGGTCCCGGCCGAAAAACACTTCAACGCAGTTCAGGCCCTCTTGGACAGGATGAAGCTGGAGTACTTCTCCCACGACATCGAGGCCACCAAGCCGCTGAAAGTGGTGCTGCGCGGGCTCCACGACATGGACACCACCACCTTAATGGACGCGATTAAGGCGAACGGCCTCAAGCCGGTCGAAGTCCACAAGATGACCCACAGCAAGGCCATCAAGTATCGTGACCAGCTCTACCTGGTCCATCTGGAGAAGAACTCCACAACCGTGAAGGATCTCCAGACGACACGCACACTGTTCCACATCGTAGTGAAGTGGGAGCGGTATAAGCCGACCCACCGTGGCGTCACTCAGTGCTCGAACTGCCTATTGTTCGGGCACGGCACCAGGAATTGCCGCATGGCCAGCCGCTGCATCAAATGCGGCAAAAACCACAAGATCGACAACTGCGACAGCATCGAGGAAGCCACTCCCACATGCGCCAACTGCGGTGCCGCCCACAAGGCCACGAGTAAGGCCTGTCCGAAGCGGGCCGAATACGCCGAGATCCGGAAGAAAGCCTCGTCCAACAGCCAGCCCGGTCGCAAGAAGGTTCCAGAAAACAACGCGCAGAACTTTCCTCCGTTATCACCGGTCCAATCACGGCCAATTCCAGTGTTGCCGCCGCTCCCGCTCAACCAACAGTTGGCTTCTGCCCAGTTGGCTGCCGCTGCAGTACCCGGTCAAGCCTCCGGGCCATCGACGGATCCCCCTGCTCCGGGATTGGCCGGTACAACCGGTGAAGCTACAGACGATTCTCCGCTGTCAACGGATGAGATCGTCACACTGTTGGCCCAGACCATCATCATCAAGCGCACCTGCGCAACAAGAACACAACAGCTCCAAGCTATCATCTCCTTCGTCGCTAATTATGGACCGTGAACCCATAAAGATTGCCAACTGGAACGCTCGCTCCGTAGGGGCGAAAAACATTGAGCTTGCAGACTTCCTCCGCAAGCACGACATCGACGTGGGCCTTCTCACCGAGACCCACCTCAAGACCGGTGACAGCTTCTGGCTGCCCGACCACAGCATTGTCCGGCTTGATCGCACCAGCTCCAGGGGGGGCGGTGTCGCGGTCATCATCAAGAAAGGCATCAAGTACTGCACCCTACCCCACTACCGCACTTCCATCATCGAGGCCGTCGGCGTTGAGGTGGAAACATCGACCGGAAACGTCCGGTTCATCGTTGTCTACTGCCCCCGGCAATGTACCGTTAGCAATGGTACAGCACAGCAGTTCAAGAACGACCTTGCCATCATAACCCGCACCAATGCCCGCTTCGTAATCGGAGGGGACCTGAACGCCCGGCACGAGGCCTGGCGGAACTACCAGCAGAACCAGAACGGCCGCCTGCTATTCGACCATTCCCAGCATGGTCTCTATTCCGTCTGGTTTCCGGACGAACCAACCTTCACATCACCGACGGGCAACCCATCGACGCTGGACCTGTTCTTGGCAAACACCAGATTAGCCAAGCCGGTTGCCGTCAACGACCTGAGTTCGGACCACCAACCGGTGCTGACCGAGCTGGGCTACAATGTGGCCCCTGCACCGTGCCAGCGGAAGGACTACCATCGAGTCAACTGGGTCCAGTTTCGACGCGTGGTCGACCGCCACATCGACGACAACCCACCGCTCGACACAGTGGAGGACATCGACCGGGCCCTGGAGGGTCTCCATCAAGCCATATCCATGGCTGACGAAGAGTGCGTTCGACGAGTTCCTGTGAGGGGTAAGTTTCAAGCAATTGATTCCCACACCAAACTCTTGATTCGGCTCAGAAATGTTCGTAGACGCCAGTTTCAGCGGACTGGGGATCTGCAGTGTAAATGCGAAATGGTCGATCTGAATCGGCAGATCGCTTCCAGAATGATCTCAATCCGGAACGAGAGTTTCGGGCGGCTCGTTCAGAACCTGGACGACCGTTCCAGACCATTCTGGAAGGTTGCCAAGGTGCTGAAGTCTCACCCCAAGCCCATTCCACCACTTAGAGTCAATGACGAACGGCTTATCACCAACGAAGAGAAGGCCAATGCAATTGGGGAGCACATTGCCCAGTCGCATTTGCTTGGCTCTACAATCCCAAGTCCACTCGAGAACCAGGTTGTGCAGTGCGTCCAGACGTTAGATACCTCCCCTTGTGCCGTACCTCCAGAAGAACGGATTATAGAGGAACAAATTTGCTCAGCGCTGAAATATAGTAAAAACATGAAGGCTCCCGGGTTTGACGGAATATTCAACCTAGCGTTGAAAAATCTCAGCCCGAGGGTCCACTCGCTGCTGGCTGCCATCCTCAACAGATGCTTGGAGCTGCACTACTTTCCAAGCATCTGGAAGGTGGCAAAAATCATCCCGATCCGCAAACCTGGGAAAGACCCTTCACTACCGTCAAGCTACAGACCGATTAGCCTGCTCTCAGCGCTGAGCAAGCTGTTCGAAAAATTGATCCTCAGCCGACTAAACAAGTTTGTGGAGGAACATGACATTCTTCTTCCGGAACAGTTCGGGTTCCGCAAGGGGCATTCCACCAATCATCAGCTAGTGCGGGTGATGAATAACATCCGAAGTAACAAAGCTGTATCCAAGTCCACAGCCATGGCCTTGTTAGACGTCGAAAAGGCGTTTGGCAATGTCTGGCACGACGGACTTATATACAAGCTTTGTAACTCCAACTTTCCACCATACCTTGTGA